TTATTTAAGAAATGATAAAAATTCCAACAGAGTTGACTGTTGATGAAAAGTTGAGGGAAAAAATACAAGTTGACGGGTGAGAAGACAAAAATAATGGCCACAAATGATTTATATAACTTTCAAATGGATAATGAAGACATTGAAATAAGTAAAGATATTGTGTATCTTGGCTCAGTCATTAATCAAAATGGAGACTGTTGTTAAGAAAACAGAAAAAGCTAAGACTCGGGAGAGTAGCTATATATATCATCGCTAAATACCAAAATCAGAATAATTTATGCTATAGCAGTACTAATTTATCTACCCATGTCTCCTTACAGCTCTCGGTGGGGCACACCATACTTAAATTACATCATAATACTAAAGTACATTCCATATCAGTATTTCCAATTTCTGCTTATGGTTTTGTGAGATGTATGATGTAGTAGTTTGAGCATTGGATTATGACTCTGGAGACCATGGTTTTAAGTCCCTGCTCAACCATGGAAATCTACTGCGTCAACCTGGGCAAATTACATTATCTTAGCTTCAGAAGGAAGCAAAGGTAACCCCCCTCTGAACAAATTGTGCTAAGAAAATCTTGTTACAGTTTCACTTTAGGCCTTCTAGAAGTCAGGAATGATTAGAAGATACACAACGACAACAATGTATGGATGTGAAAACAGGACAGTGAAGAAAGCTGACGGAAAACTGAGCCTATAGTATTTTGGATGTAACCTGAGTCAGTGTGACCCTTTGGAAAAGGCAATATGCTGTGAATCTTTTGTAGGCCAACCTGGAGATGCCGGAGATGGAACCCAAGACCTTCATCACTGAGTTACAGCTTTGCCCCATTTTAAACAACATTTAATGCATTGAATCTCATTTTAATTTTAATGCATTTAAAACATGAATGTCGTTAACTTTAATGCAGTCTGCTGTTAACTTTAATGTATGCATTTCATTTCAACTTCAGATGATGAAAATCATTGGATGTTATGACAGATCAAGGACATACAGTGGAGTTGGGGATAAATGCCACTTGGGTTATGGACATTGGGGATTATCTTGATTCTAGTTTGAGATTTTTGTTTTTATTTTTGTGTGACAAATTAGTTTCAGTTCTCCATGCACTTTGGAGTAGGAAATCTATTAGTCTGAAAACAAAAACCCAGATTTGGAAACACTAAACCTGACCTGCAAGAGCTTGAAAAACAGTTTATGTGAGTACTCTTTATCTAGTCAGTGTCGGCATACTTGTGGCCAGGGATATTGGAAAATGATGGCCTCCAGTGGAAGCAGAGGGCAGATAAGGAATGGGAACCTGTACAATGAATGGGAAATAGAACTTCATACTCTCAGTGGTCATTGGACTGTGGAAGAAAGGTCACAGAAGAAGACTTCTTAAAATGTTGTTTTTTGTATGCCTTCAAGTCAACTCCAATTTACATCATGATCATAGGGGTAGCTTGGCAAGATTCATTTCGAGAGGTTTGCTATTGCCTTCCTCTGAATCTGAGAGAGAGAGTGACTTACAGTCACTTAATGGGTTTCCATAGTTGAGTGTGGATTTGAATCTATTTTTCAGAGTCTTTCAAAGCTTAGTTGGATACACAAGTCAAAGTATAAATCATAATAAAACATACATCATGTTTTATTAGCTTACACTGTGGTGTAACGATTTGAGTAATAGGGCATGGTTATGTATATAGGTATATAGATGGCCAATTACCTGAGTAGCAGATAATTTCTGAATGTTTCTGAAATTTCTGAAAATTTCTCCAAATGTTGTTGAACTGCAATTTCAAGCATTAGTGAGGCTACCCAGGGCTGCTGGGAATTGCAGTCCAACAACATCTGGAGGGCAGAATGATGTCTAGCCCTTTCTGTGTGTATAGTTGTAAAGTTGAAGGCTTTACTGGGAAAAAATTCAGTTGGAAAAAACAAGGAACACAAGGTCTCGGTTGTTGTAGGTTTTTTCGGGCTATATGGCCATGGTCTAGAGAGGCATTCTCTCCTGATGTTTCGCCTGCATCTATGGCAAGCATTCTCAGAGGTAGTGAGGTCTGTTGGAACTAGGAAAAAGGGTTTATATATCTCTGGAATGACCAGGGTGGGACAAAGTACTCTTGTCTGCTGGAGCTAGGTGGAATGTTCTAAGAACATCTTTTGCATTTCTTATCTGAGTTTCTTCTCTGGTCCTAACACAATACCAGAGTTCTCTTATGTTGTTAGTTGAGTATAGGAACTGATCCAAGGAATGGTTTGTGCTGAATATACTATCAACAGTGAAGAAGTTAGCATTTCAACATTTCTTGTTTGCTTTTATAAAATAACTTCCTTGGGTAAGCCCAAACAGAGATGCTAAACTTGGGAGTATGTTAACTAGTGCTGCCCATGGACTTTGCAAATCTAAAAGTGAACAGTGTTGGTGTTGGAGCTTGTTTTTGCATTTGGATCTACTGACTGCAAAGTGTTTCAAGTCTGGTTTGTTTGCATAATTGTAGGCAGGATAATTGTTGCCCATACAAATCCATATGTATGACGTGTCAGGTTAAAGTTGTGATTTGAATTTAGCCTTATTGAAGAGTTGAGACAAAGAGAATGGATGAAAAAAGTTATAAGGATTTTGGAACCTCCCAGATATGTTCTCCTTGGTGTTAAAAGTTTGGATTTCATTGACATTTGTCTTGGACCTGTCTGGTTGCAAGGGTGGTCTTCAGGAGAGTCCCTTCTGGGAATCCCTTACTTTCAGAGCCTACTTTGCTATGCAGGAAGGAGAAGACACCCTCCTGTGTTATTTCCAGATTTGGAATGTGTTCATTTTAGAGCAGGGGTTCTCAACCTGTGGGTCCTCAGATGTTTTGGCCTTCAACTCCCTGAAACAGTTGGTAAACTGGTTGGGATTTCTGGAGTTGTAGGCCAAAACACATGGGGACTCACAGGTTGAGAACTACTGCTTTAGAAGTATGTAGAGTTCATAGAATCATAGAATCAAAGAGTTGGAAGAGACCTCATGGGCCATCCAGTCCAACCCCCTGCCAAGAAGCAGGAATGTTGCATTCAAATCACCCCTGACAGATGGCCATCCAGCCTCTGTTTAAAAGCTTCCAAAGAAGGAGCCTCCACCACACTCCGGGGCAGAGAGTTCCACTGCTGAACGGCTCTCACAGTCAGGAAGTTCTTCCTCATGTTCAGATGGAATCTCCTCTCTTGTAGTTTGAAGCCATTGTTCCGCGTCCTAGTCTCCAAGGAAGCAGAAAACAAGCTTGCTCCCTCCTCCCTGTGGCTTCCTCTCACATATTTATACATGGCTATCATATCTCCTCTCAGCCTTCTTTTCTTCAGGCTAAACATGCCAGCTTTTTCTGTTTAGAAAAGAGTAAATTCTCCTTTCTTAAATTTGGCCTTTAATGCTGTTTTTATTTGTTGCGATGATTTTAATGTTGCCACTTTAAATTGTTTTTAATGATGTTTGCTATGTGCCAAGTGGAGCTTTTAGTGGGAAAACACTGCGAATAAGCACAATCATAAAACGGAAACTCAGTGTAAGCTAAGCAAAAGATATGTGACTATAATTCAAAACTCCACACACATATGAATAAAAATGTGTTTGTCAGCTATATAGCAACATCCAAATGTCCATATCCACATGAGTTTGAGATTATTTTAAACTTCAACTATCTTGTTTTACCTTTCAAATTCCTCAATATGTTTTTGCTGTTTAAATTATTCCAATAATTTTAAATTATTCAGATTGACTTTATTGTATGCCACCCACAGATCCTTTGATAAAGAGTGGGATAATAATATGGTGGGTTGACTCAATCAAGGAAGCTATGGCTCAGATTTTGCAATACCTGAACAAGACCTTGAGAACAGAATCACTTATGGTTGTCTGTAGTCAAAGCAGACTTGTTGGTACAGAACAACAAATAAATATTATAATGTTAGTATGTTGTTAAAGAAATTTGAAGAGAAATTACTGATGTCAGCTCTTGATCCAGTCTGCTGAATTCCATGTAGACATTTCAAGTTTGTGGCAGCCTCATGACTAGCAAATCTGTTTTGCTGCAGTCTTGTTCCACTAAATAAATTCATAGACAGACTTGGGCTCAAAGTTTACTTCCTTGAGTCTTTGACATCTTGTGTAGGCATAGCTTGCCAGGATCATATTTTAATACAAACTTATACAGGTGGAGTATTCCTGATCCAAAATGCTTGGGATCAGAAATGTTTTGGATTTAATTTCTTTTTAATTTTGGAAAACCCGAATACATACCTAATAAGATATCTTGGGGATGGGACCCAAGTCTAAACATGATATTCATTTATGTTTCATATTCACCTTAAACATAGAGCCTGAATGTAAGTGTGTGTATATAGCAAAGGTAAAAGTTTCCCCTGACATTAAGTCTAGTCATGTCTGATTCTGGGGGATGGTGCTAGTCTCAATTTCTAAGCCGAGGAGCCAGCGTTGTCCGTAGACTCCTCCAAGGTCATGTTACCAGCATGACTGCATGTAGTGCCGTTACCTTTTTGCCAAGGTGGAACCTATTGATCTACTCACATTTGCATGTTTTCAAACTACTAGGTTGGCAGAAGCTGGGCCTAACAGCAGGCTCTCATCCCCCTCCCTGGATTTGAACTGCCAACCTTTTGGTCAGCAAGTTCAGCCCAGCGGTTTAACCCATGGTGCTACCAGGGCCCCATATATATATATATATATATATATATATATATATATATATATATATATGTGTGTGTGTGTGTGTGTGTGTGTGTGTGTGTGTGTGTGTGTCTGTGTGAGAAACAAAGTTTATGTCTATTGAACCATCAGAAAGCAAAGGTTTCACTCTCTCAGCCAGCCATATGGACAGTTTTGAATTTTTGGATTTTTGGATAAGGGATTGTCAACCTGTACAAACATTTTCAAGGATGTTGTTCAGGCAAGGACCATGGACTGTTCTTCTCAGAAAATGTTGCCCTAATTGTTTCTCCCCTTTCTTGTATCTTCTCAGGAAAGTATGCCCCAGACGCCCCCCTTTGCCGCAATGTTTGACAGCAGTGGCTACAACCGGAACTTGTACCAGTCAAGAGAGGACAGCTGTGAAGGATTGTGTTACCATGACAACAATTTGCTGTCTGGATCGTTGGAAGCCCTCATCCAGCACTTAGTGCCCACCATTGATTACTACCCTGATGTAAGTCTGCTCCATTTGCAAATTAAATTGGCTTGGCCTACTGGGCCTCTGAAGAGGAAGAAAGGGGGAACTCAGCAAGGTGTGTTGTGCATATTGTGCAGAAAGGCTTTTCCTGTGGGGAGGATGAATGACAACCAACCAGTCGCAGTCTTAAGCTGTTTTTCTTGTCAAGGAATTCAGCTTCTCTTAAACTGGGCTTTATTTTCCTGCTGGCCAACCCCCCAGGCATCCAGCCATGTTGAAGGCTATCAAACCTGGTCAAGAAAAGATCACAAAAGACCCATTCTGTGTAGATTGGTTCCCTCCCTTCTCTTGTTGTAGCTGCACTCTGTTTCATTTTGTTTTGATCTGAGATTTGATAGACATATATTCAAGGGTAAAGTCATATTGCATTAAGGTGGCATACAAAGGCAGTTGTCCTTAGCTCAAAATATGGAGATATGGACTTGCTGTCTTCTCAATGAGCTTAGAAGCAGTTGCAGATACTAGAAAAAAGGTTCCCGCACCACTAAGTTTTCACCAAGAGGAGATGGAATGGAAAAGGATAATATTTCAAGGCATATGTGCAAGTAAGTCATTCCCTGCATGTCCTCAGGGTAACAGCCAAAGAAAATCGCACATCTTATTTATTTATTTATTTGCTTTATTTCTATACCGCATTTTTCAGCTCTTAACAGGCGACTCAATGCGGTTTACATGGTACAATTATCAAACAGTGTCAGTGCAATTAAAACATAACAATACAACAAACAGGATCAACAGCATCAATCCACAACAGTTAACAATCAACAAGACAGATCAACAAAACAGACATAACATAACGCCTCAGTTGAAATCAGATCCGTTCTCATAATCCTTGTGCCATTCCTATGTTCCATTTACCGTCTTCCTATGATTGGTTGCACTGCTTAACCAAACGCTTGTTCATAAAGCCAGGTCTTAACCATTCTCCGAAACGTCAGCAGCGAAGGTGCCTGTCTGATGTCTGCCGGAGAGATTAAAGACCTTTGCCTTGGTTGCCTGGTCAGTTGTCACAAGGAGGAAGCTCTGCATGACTTCCTTTGGGAGAAAACAGAATGGCTCAATTTTTGTCTAGCCACATTGAATTGAGAGAAATATATATGCTAGGGTATACAGGAGAGGCTTGGGATCCTATCTACAGTGGCCTCTTGGTATCTTTTGAGGTTCGGTTCCAGGAAGTCACCCCCAGTGGATATTGAAATCTGATTTATTTCACCTCTGCTGAGTAGAATGGTAAGAAATAGTATGGAAGTCTTCTGCTGTTTGTTATGTTCTTCAGAGTTCAAAAAGAGAGAGTGTTCAGGAGAGGACCTGTGGTATCTTCGACAGTTTTCTACCTGAAGAGCAAGTGCCCTTTGCTACTTAATTATGGTTGATTTTTAGAAGTCCAGCTATGAGAATCCATGTGTAAAACATGCATGTATCTTCCTCACCTAATATGACATACACAGTCTACATGTAGTTATATATGAGAATTACATCAAAAACAGGACTGAGAGACACTTGGCCTTCCAGTTATTGTTGAGTTGCGAGTCCTATCAATCTAGCCTCCACAACCATGTAATTAATTTGTTTATACCCGCCTACAGTAGTTATCAATTGTAAGCTGAGAATGGGAGTCAACTCCTTCTTCCCCCTTTTGATCTGGGTTGTTGATCTTGCTGAATAGTGGTCTCGAGCCTGGCATTGGAGTCTCAATGGCTCCTTGTGCTGGGGGACTTCAATGTCCATGCCGAGGCGACCCTCTCAGGAGCGGCTCAGGACTTCATGTCTGCCATGGCAACCATGGGGCTGTCCCAACAAATATCTGGCCCCACCCACTGTGCTGGACACACATTGGACTTGGTTTTCTGCCAGGGATGGGAGCAGGGTGGCGGTGTGGAGGAGTTGTCTATCTCTCCGTTGCCATGGACTGACCACTTCCTGATCAGATTTAGGCTCACTGCACCCCCTAACCTCCGCAAAGGTGGAGGACCCATTAAGATGGTCCGCCCCAGGAGGCTTATGGATCCGACTGGATTCCTGACGGCTCTTGGGGATTTCCCGCCTCCTCGGTAGGTGACCATGTCGAGGCCTTGGTCGCTCTCTGGAATGGGGAGATGGCCAGGGCAATTGACATGATCGCTCCGGAACGTCCCCTCTCTAGCCGAGCTAAACCAGCCCCTTGGTTTACTGAGGAGCTGGCAGTGATGAAGCGAAGGAAGAGGGAACTAGAGAGCGTGTGGCGTTCGGACCCAAGCGAATCAAATCGAGCACGGTTTGTGTCCTTTTTAAGGGCATATGCCGCGGCAATAAAAGCCGCAAAGAAAACTTTCTTTGCGGCCACTATTGCGTCTGCGAAAAACCGTCCGGCGGAGTTGTTTCGGATTGTCAGAGGTCTTTTAACTCCCGCCACCTCAGGCGGGAGCCCTGACAATTCGTTCACACGCTGTGAAGCATTTGCTCGGTTCTTCACAGACAAAGTCGCTTTGATCCGTTCTGAGCTGGACACCATGTTAAATGCAGTCTCCGTGGATGTGACACGAGCACCTGCTTGTCCTATTTTGATGGATTCTTTTCAGTTTGTGAAACCCGAGGATGTGGACAAGATACTTGGAGGAAGAGGCCCACCACGTCCATCCTAGACCCCTGCCCATCCTGGCTTCTGAAGGAGGCCAGAGGGGGATTGGCTGAGTGGGTAACGGTGGTGGTTAATGCCTCCCTTCGGGAAGGCAAGATTCCAGCGTGCTTAAAACAAGCAATTATAAAACCGCTGTTGAAGAAACCATCATTGGACCCCACTAAATTTGACAACTTTCGGCCTGTTTCCAATCTCCCCTTTTTGGGCAAAGTCATGGAAAGCGTGGTGGCCTCACAACTCCAGGTATTCTTGAGAGACACGGATTTCTGGATCCGGCACAGTCTGGTTTCAGACCGGGACATGGTACTGAGACGGTCTTGGTCGCCTTAGTGGATGATCTGCGCCGGGCGCTAGACAGGGGGAGTGTGTCCCTGTTGGTGCTCCTGGACCTCTCAGCGGCCTTCGATACCGTCGACCACGGTATCCTTCTGGGGCGCCTTGCGGAAATGGGTCTTGGGGGCACTGCTCTGCAGTGGCTCCAGTCATTTCTGGAGGGGCGTACCCAGAAGGTGTTATTGGGGGACTCCTGTTCAACACCACAGCCTTTGACCTGTGGGGTTCCTCAGGGTTCTATACTGTCCCCCATGCTGTTTAACATCTACATGAAGCCGCTGGGTGAGATCATCCGGAGTTTCGGGGTGCGGTGTCATCTGTACGCAGATGATGTCCAACTCTGTCACTCCTTTTCCACCTGCTACTAAGGAGGCTGTCGAGGTCCTGAACCGGTGCCTGGCCGCTGTAATGGTCTGGATGAGGGCGAACAAACTGAAATTAAATCCAGACAAGACAGAGGTACTACTGGTCAGTCGCAAGGCCGAACAGGGTATAGGGTTACAGCCTGTGCTGGACGGGGTCGCACTCCCCTTGAAGGCACAGGTTCGCAGCTTGGGTGTGACCCTGGATTCATCTTTGAGCCTGGATCCCCAGGTTTCAGGTGACCAGGGGAGCATTTGCACAGCTTAGGCTGGTGCGCCAGCTGCGCCCATACCTTGGGAAGTCTGACTTGGCCACGGTGGTACATGCACTGGTCACATCCCGCCTTGACTACTGCAACGCTCTCTACGTGGGGCTGCCCTTGAAGACGGCCCGGAAGCTTCAGCTAGTTCAGCGCGCGGCAGCCATGTTACTAACGGGAGCGGGACGCAGGGAGCACACAACGCCCTTGTTGTCCCAGCTCCACTGGCTGCCGATATGCTACCGGGCCCAATTTAAGGTGCTGGTGTTATCCTACAAAGCCCTAAACGGTTCCGGCCCAAAATACCTTTCGGACCGCATCTCGGCCTATGAGCCCACGAGGGCCTTGAGATCGTCTGGGGAGGCCCTTCTCTCGATCCCGCCTGCCTCACAGGCACGTCTGGCGGGGACGAGAGAGAGGGCCTTCTCAGTGGTGGCCCCTTGGCTGTGGAACACCCTCCCTGTTGACATCCGACAGGCGCCCTCTCTTATGGCTTTCCGTAAGAGCCTAAAGACCTGGCTCTTCGAGAGGGCATTTAACTGAGTGCCAGGCTAACTGATAATGACAATCGGAACGAAATATGGATTATGAGACTGGTAGGTCCCTATGTTGTGACGGTGCGGATTAGTTAGTATAATTTAGATTAATGTGTAATTGTGGCTTGTTGATGTACTGTGTTTTTGTAAACTGTTTTTATATGTTGTACACCGCCGCGTGTCGCCCTAGGGCTGAGAGCGGCGGTCAACAAATGCATTAAATAAATAAATAAATATGATAAATATTATCTGAATGTATTGAGCATCTGATGTCTTTGATATTCATTATTCAAATAAATAAGCTTGGATTATGATGACTTCACAACATTCTCAGAAGCCTTTCATGATTGATTCATGTTGTTGTGTTGAAGCAGTGCAATAAACTGAATGACACTATTATTGGATACTCACAAGGGAAAGACGAACTCTTGATGCCTCTTGGAATTTTCCACTCCATGATTGAATTGCTGATGGTAATGGAACAACAGACATTCCATCCTGGAAATTTGTAGAAAGGGTTGTATTATACCAGTCTTCCCCACAGTGGTACCTGCCAGATTTTTGGTACTTCAGCTACCAACAGGTTCGCATATCAGAAAGTTGCCAAGTTAGTGAAGACTCTAGTATATTCTCTTGACTTCATATGTGTCATCAGGCAGAAACGATATTATAAAAGATACTGGGAAAATCATCATGGTAGGCTATCACTCCTGGTCAAATATATTGTCCTCCAAGGACAGAGTCTTGGCAGTGACTGTGGAGACCTATTCTGGATCCACACGATCTTTCACATTGAGGACATAGGTTTCTAGATGGAAGGCGATCATGAAAAGGATTTTCATGATGTGCCTTCTTCTTGGCACATTTTTTAGTTTCTCCCTGTATTTGTGCCTCTTCAAAATCCATAGCACTATTGATAACAGCTAACCGTCAGTTACAACACTTGAATGCTAGGTCTATTTATATCAGATTTTTAAAGGTTAGCTTTAGGCCCATCTTTAACTCTCTTCTCTTGTCCACCAATATTCCATTTTCTGTTCTTAGGTTGGGAAAAATAAAACATTTAATATATTTATTTATTTATTTAAAGTATTTATATTCCCCCCTTCTCACCCCGAAGGGGACAACATATAAACTGCGAACATAAGTCAAAATGTCAATGTGTCTTTTTCATGAAGTGTTTGAGATAATCAGTTTTATGCTGAAGAAGCAGCTGCTCATTACAATTCATATTTGTTTAGTCCAGTGTTCTGTATTATTATTATTATTATTATTATTATTATTATTACTACTACTACTACTATCACCTATGGAGCCAGGTGCTCTGACACAGAAACACTGTGTTTCCTCTGTAGGTGTGCATGTGTTGAAATCTAAAACTGTTGCTATTTCTGAAAAAGTTCTGAAATCGCAAAGCAAGCCATTCTTAGGAATTGAATGCCTGCATAGTCTTCTGTTGCACAAGGATCGTCGGCACTCATCTGAGTGATGTGCCCTGCCCTGTCTGTTGTTTTTGTCTTGCATAATAAGAATGTGATATATCCAAATGTGAATTCTGAATACAATGATGTTTGGGACAATTAAGTTTTAATGCTTGCCTCTGCAGTATTGAGTGCTCGCCCAAGATAATGCAACTGATTGTCTTCCTCTTGATAAAACATGTACATCTGATCCTCGGTGAAGTAAAAGTTTTTTTTTTGTCTTTTTCCTCCTCATTGCAGAGAACATATATATTTACCTTCCTGCTCAGCTCTCGCCTTTTTGTTCACCCTTATGAGTTAATGGCAAAAGTTTGCCGTCTGTGTACTGAGCAGCAGAGACTGGATGAACCTGCTGCTGATAAAGTAAGTGATCTGTCTGATCAAGTGTAATTTAGTTGTGTATCATGATGGATTATGGGAGAGAGACATACTGTAAACTCAAGAATGCACAAATACTCCAGATGTATTGTGCAAACTGCCCATTCGTTTAGAGATAGTCCAATGCTGAGTCAGAAAAAATAGTTTCTTCCCAGCTTTGTGTGGGAACCAATGCTTGGAACCATTTCACAGATGGGAAACATGGCAATCTGTGTACCACAGGCAGAAGGAATCTTACACAATATCATTAGAGATTGTTCTAAACGTCTTCTGCTGTGCTACTAGTAGAGAGTGGTACAGCATTGATTCCCCTTTCTCTGCTAGGACAGAAAGAGCTTCCTTTTGTTGACCCATACAATATAAAAACCCATAATGAATTAGTACATTTGATTATTTATTTATTTATTTACAACATTTATATGCTGCCCTTCTCACCCCGAAGGGGACTCAGAGCAGCTTACAAGTAATATGTAAATACAATATATTATATTATTACCATAGCATAATATTAGTATTATATATTGCTATATTGTACTATAACATTATACTGTAATATTATTATTAGTAATATTACATGTAATATAAAATATATAATTATAATATATTATTAGTATTAGTATTAGTATTATATTGCATTAAATTATAATATTATTACTATTAAATTTATATACAATATATTATATTATTAGCACAGTGCAGGAGACAAGATGGAACTGTCTTCCTGGCCCCCTCTCTTCACTCTGGTCCCAGAGCAGTAGTTTGATTACCAGGGAAGATGAATGTTATCATGCAGTAATGTGAAGAGTTTGGCTGCCCTCTCCATCGTTGGTACCTAGGAAAGCCAAGGGCTTGGGGTTTTTGTTACACTAGACTTTTAACTTGTTTTGGAAGCTATAGTTGGTGACCTTTCCAGTTGTTTACAGCTTTTCTACTTAACATTTGTTGATAGACTACTATGTTACTCATAACTGTTTTGTTTTCATACATTTTTGAGAATAAGACTTGGAATATGTTAATGGTTTGTCCCAGGAGTGGGATCCTGTGTCCCTCTTCAGTTGCTTGGACTCCAATTCCCATCACCCCTAGATTCACCAAGTGACCAGGCAAGATGGGAATTGTAATCTGAAGGATTACAGGTTCTACAGGCATGTTTTAGCTGAAGTGAAATTGTGAACACTGTGTTGGGAATCAGAGCTGTTAGGTTGAAAAAATAACCCTCACTTGGGGTGATTCAACCATAAATACAGCAGAGTTCTAGAAGCAAACTTCATAACCAGCAGAAACGTACATGTGGTGAGTCAGGATGAGCTTCCATTGAACAGGATGGTACAGGATTGCAGAGACAGAACTTTAGGTTCAAAATATTTATTGAATATTGAAAAGGTCTTGGAGCTAACTAGCTTACTAAGCTCATCTTCTAAGGAAGGTAAAATGATAAAATATCAAAAGTATCCATGCAGCTACATTTTGCCTGGAGAAAGGCAAAATGCATCCTCACTGCAAGGGAGACAAAGGCAGAGAGAGGGCAATGGAGAATGACCACATGGCCAAGGCCAAGGCAACAAAAATGCATTTTAAAGTGGAAGTTGCCTCATCTGTCATAGAGATCCCATTGCTACATCTTCAGAAGGGGAGGAGATAGTGGCAAGCAAGAAGATTAAAGAGACAGCCCTTTCTGGGAAAAGCATGCATAGGAATGTGAGGGGAAGAATCCCTCACTCTAACCCTATATCTAAGTCTAGTTACTCATTGAGGACTGGAGACTTGTGCAGTCCAGGGATGAAACCCAACACATTGTCTCACTTACTTCAGTCCATGTGTTCTGCAATCGGCTCCAACATTTTGCACTAAATGTCCGTGTTTCAATCACTTGTCAACTTGTGTGATGACCTGATGAGTTTCACTGCCACTTAACTTCCTCTGTAAACACCTGGTATTCCCTTGTTGTCCCTCACCCAAATATAAAGTAGGTTGACCCTGCTTAGTTCCTGAAATCAGATGAGATCTGAGTTTTTCAGCATTAACTGCAGCACATTAAAATTCCCAGGACTATCCCTATATACGTTTTAATTCCTCTCTTTTTCTTTCTCCAGAGCCGGTTACGTAAAATTGCCCCCAAAATCCTGCAGTTGTTAACGGAGTGGACAGAGACTTTTCCATATGATTTCCGAGATGAGCGAATGATGAGGAATTTAAAAGATCTGGCCCACCGGATTGCCAGTGGAGATGAGGTGAGTCTCTTGAGCTGACACTGTATCTCTGGCATTTCAGAATATTTCAGCTTGAGCAAATTTCAAGCAAGTATAGGATGGTTTCACATAGGAGATTTACAAGGGCTCTTTAAAGCTATTTCGGTATGAATGGTAATGTGGAAGAGAAAGCAGAGGTGTGAATTTTAACTTTTCTAGGCTTTAAAGTTGAATGATGTATGCAGGAAATGTTAAAAATAATTTAAAGAGTCAGGTGAGAGATGAATTTTAAAAATCCATTGAACACTACGATTCCTAGGAAGGAAATGAGAAAGAGAAAATCTATTGCCCATCCTTCATTCTGTATTTCTCAGTAAAAGGGACTTTGCATCCCATATGTAGAGCTATTAGCCATGCTGGCTCAGAGATCTTCAAAAATAACTCCTTCAGGCTCAGAAAAAGGTGAAACTTGATGATCAGAAATTTGCAAAACATGAGTCCTTGATCATTTGCAATGTAAACATTTTGAAGGACTGTCTTTATGTATTTCACATTCTTGAGCTCACCTATACAACTTCTTTGTCCCAATGCCTCTAGTGTATGTGTTCAATCCCTGATCTGCTTCTGAAATCCCTTTGGGTCTCCCTTCCCTTCTGCCATGGACCCCCACCCACCCCCATTCAACCCAGCTGCCTTTCTCCCCTTCCGCCAGCCACCTGTTCACCAGCTGGTGCCTGTCAGCTAGCATGTGGGGGCACAAATGCTCACATTCATGCATGCATATATTATTTCCTTGGACTTTACATCCTGCCTCATCTGTCATGCCTAAGACGAAATCTCAATGTTTGGAAGTATGTACATACGTACTTACAAGTATTATTTTATTTGTCATTCAGATGTTTTGATAACTCTGTCTTTACAGGAAGGAGAGGGTTATAGAATAAAAATGAAAATGTATGAATGGATTGGCATGAAAAGCCCTTAGACAGGCCTGGCTTTCCCAGTATGCATAAAGAGTCACTTACATAAAGTATTAATGCTGTGTACAACAGGGGTTGCCATGGTGGCATATAAGATGTTTTCCAATAGATGAACAAGAGCTTTTGTAGTTTTTAGTTTATATGTCTAGAAAACAGACTCAAATTAGCTCATAAATATATGGAATTAGTAAGTAGGAAAGGAGCCCCCATGGTACAATGGGTTAAACCCTTGTGCTGGCAGGACCGCTGACCAAAAGGTCAGTGGTTTCAATCTGAGGAGTGGGGTAAGCTCCTGTCTGTCAGCTCCAGCTTCCCATGCGGGGACATGAGAGAAGCCTTCCACAGGATGGTAACACATCTGGGCGTCCTCTGGGCAACGTCCTTGCAGACAGTCAATTCTCTCACATCAGAAGTGACCTGCAGTTTCTCAAGTCTCTCCTGACACACAAAAAAGTGGGTTGAAACCTCTGTCTAGAGATAATGGTGATGGTGATGATGTTAGTGGTTGAATATACTTTATCCAAAATTCTTCAGTTTGGAAGTGTTTCAGCTCTCAATTTTTGGAATGCTTGTATTTGCACATATGCACATATTGGAGATGGGGCCAGACTTCATGTATGTGTCATAAATATATACAAATCACTGGAAAGTTATTTTATACAGTATTGCACCACTGGGGAAATGATACTGTTTAGCCAGTATTGCATCACCTAACATTTGTTGGGAAGTAGCAGTCAATAATGAAAGGGCCAAGGCATTAACATCTCCAGCCCATCCTCTGTTTGGATAGCAAGCAGCATGCCAACACCTTAAATCAAGAAACAGCTTTGACAGAGATACTTGCAGGAACACTTCAGCAAACGAGAGTCCAAAAACAGCAGGCTAAAACCCAGAATCTCAATCAGTGGCTGAGGCCGGATGAGAAACTCCCTTCAGGGTACACAGAAGACTGGGTGACTTGGAAGGCACTAAACAGGCTGTGCTCTGGCACCACGAGATGCACAGCCTATCTTAAGAAATGTGGCTACAAAGTGGAATCCACAACTTGCGAATGTGGAGGAGAGCAAACCACAGACCATCTACTACAATGCAGCCTGAGCCCTGCCACATGCACAATGGAGGACCTTCTTATAGCAACACCAGAGGCACTCCAAGTGGCCAGCTTTTGGTCAAAGGAAATGTAGCCTAATGCCAAGTTTTTAACTTTGTTATGTGTTTTAAATATATTTTAACTGTACCCTCAGTTCACTTCTGACACAATAAATAAATCTCCAATTTGTGTCCCTGGGATTTTCAAAGTCGTTTGTTATAATTGGATTTCCAAGGCTCAAAAAAAAAAAAAAAAAAAAGCTCAATTGTAGTTGTAGTATTTTAAAAAGAACTCTCTACTTGCTTATTTCTCCAGAATAATTAAAACAGTCCCCTTTTATTTTTCTTGAAAATAAGATTTGAATGCTGTAAGCCACTGCTTGTAAAAGAGAATCCCCTCTTCATTTGTAAGCTGAACACCCACAACAAAAGGACTCAGCAAGCTATAGGGCCACATGATGTCCATCCTAAATGGGATATAGAAGTGATAAACTGATTCAGTTTCTGCCCTCTCACCTTGTTATATTCAGAGACGGTGGATGAAGAGCCCCGTGAAGGCTTTACTACAGTAATATAGTAGTTTGGGTGGGAGCTGAGGATTCATTGTATTAGATTTCTGTCCATCTCTTAAGTTATTGTGTGTTTGGCTTTCCCAACAGGTTCCCATTTTGCACTTTTCAGAAAGCAATGTGTCAGTACACTTCTAGGTGTCATAAATTATTTGTTTTATTGGATAGTAATTCTCTTGGAAGGGTAAATGCAGGCTCTCCTGACCTTGCTTCTATTGTGCTGCATTGCAGATCACTGTAGGAGCGCTGAAGTTCCTAAAAACACGGCTGTTCTGCAGATCCATGCTCGTGTTCTACCCCAGGGGACAGAATGGCCCTCTTTAGTGGGTTTTCTCCATGATTTTCTTTAACTCCATCTTGTAGTGTAGAGAATAGAGGAGTAATATCCCAGACGTATAGTTTTGCACAGTCTAGAAAATTTTGTTATTAACATTCCTCAGTGGATGGTGGTATTGAAGATTGCACCTCAATACTATAAACAAGGAGAAATCAGAGGTTGTGATTTTTCCAAAATGTTTGGGCACCAGTCCCTCCAACTTCCTAGTTATTTCTTTATTTTGTGTCAAAAGCATTGCATAAATAAGTATAAAACTGATAAAATAGAAGGTGCTCAAATGGCTAAATAATTTTATACCAAAAATGGGCAACAGCAACCGCATTGTCTGCAACTTTAAACAGTTCTTCCCATGTCCATGAGGCAGGGCATTGTGGGCAAGCATACAGATGCGGAGTTCTGTTCCATAGTTGCACAAGGTGGATGATTCTTCTAAGTAGTACCATTTTTCCAGGTTGTCTTTTGATCTGCCCACTCCACTTCTGAATCTGTTCAGGGACTTCCAAGTTGCCCATTCTTGGTTTACCCCTGGAGGCAGATCATTGTGTGGGGCCATCCATTTGGGATTTCCTGGTTCAGCTGCCCAGAAGGATACTCTTGTTGTTGCTGGGGGAACATTAAGAGTAGGGGTGGTTCTCATTAAGCTTTTCCTTGATTTGAGTCTACTGAGAGGAGGCTGATAGCCATGCAGTGGATGGCATTCACAGTGTTCAACCTTATTTCTCTCACAACTTCCCGTCACACGTCCGGGGGGGGGGGGGGGGGGGAATGCCAGCTAGCTTATAGAGTCTGTCATCAGGTGTATGTTTGAGACACCCTATGATTATTCTACATGTTTTGTTCAGTGCTATATTCACTTGCTTCTCATAGGCAGACTTGTGTCAAACAGGGCATGCATAGTCAGCAGTTGAGTAAGACAAGGCCAGGGCTGATGTTCTTATTTATTTTTGGGTCTGTGTCCCATGCACTGTCAGTAAGTTTCCCCAGAATATTATTGCATGCAGCTTCTTTGTGCTTGGTGTTCATACAGTGTTTCATAAATGTTAGTGTTCGATCTAAGGTGAAACCAAGATATTTAGGATGGGAACCATGTTTGAGCACTTGGCCTTCCCAGGTAACTTGCAATTTCAGTTGTTGCTTTACAACTTCCCATTTTAGATTGCAGACCTGGGGTTACTGAAAAATGCATACAGGTCTGTAGTTGTTCCCCATGTCACCTGCAGTGCATTTGTGTTTTATGCAAAAAAAACCCCGATGCAATATGATGACTACCACCCTCTAAATGTGGGTGATATGTGGATTCTTCATGTGGATACACAAAACTGTGGGTAGTAATGAACTTATTGAATGAATGATCTCTGGTGGAAGTATACCACAGAGTCATTGTAGAGGATCTAGGAAATGCCTAAAGAGGTTCCCTCTCAAGGCATCATTGGGTTTTATCTCTGATAGGAATCTACAACTAATACAACTAATAGAAATAATTCAATATATTAAAAATAAATAAATAAATTGGATTTATAATCCTCTACTAACCTGTGTCTGAAGTTAAGATTGCTTCTGCTGAGGTGGAGATAACTAGGGAACAAAAATACATACTATATTAATGAAAACTAAAAGTGCCATGCCAATAACAATGTTTTTGCAATAGTTCTACATTTGAGTCCTCAGCTTTTAAGGTGACACAGGACTCTTATTGTGATTTTTCTGCAACAGACTGCTGTGGCTACCCTTTTGGAAAAAGTTGCAGTGGAAGGCATTATCTTAGCACTGACCTTTATGTGCTGACATGTGACAATGTGAGGTTGTACCCAAGGAGTCTGTGTTCATAATTGATCAAAGAGGCATCCAGTGATAAGCGTACCCTTTGGCCTTTGGCTGTTTTTGTGTATGTCTCAGCAATGAAAGACCTCTCATCATGGTTTGGCAAGTTGTCACAAATTCTCTTGGTGTCCTTCTGAATATATATATATATATGACAGAACTGTCACTGTCTTTTACAGCTTGATCCTGTCCCTTAATCATAAGGCTTAGGGGTTTATTTGTTTTTTTAAGATTGAAAAACTTTATTTTCAATAATAGAAACTCATAGTATACCATGGTTTCAACTAACTCTGCTCCACCCTCAGAAAGACTTACATATTTTCAGTTTACAGTCATGCTCTCTATCTGCTGGTCTGCTGCATGACATCTGTCATGTTTGCCATGCATCATAGGCTCAGATATGTCCAGAAACCGCTTGTGTTGGCAATACAACTTGCCCAAACAGCTTATCCATGTGGCCTCAAGCTAATTGACATTGAAGAGAGAGGTTAAACCAGAAAAGGAGGGGAAATTAAGCCTGTGGCTTTTCCTGGAAATATCTTTCTGGACTAAAAAACTTGTGTAGCTTTGCTTTTCATATCCATTGTTGTTGTGTTTTTTTTCAAATAAGCAAGTCTTCTAGTAATATTACAGTTCGTTTTCTCATTTGGAGTCCGGGAGAGAGGCTTGTGACAAGAAAGGAATCTGGAAGTATTACATTATTGCGCCACAACTCCAGTGATCTTTCTCTAGCTATGCTGACTTGTGGATTTTGGCAGTTGTAGTTGGAAAAAAAATTTCCAATTTCGCAAATATAAAAATGTTCAGGTTGAAATTAGCTTCTTATTTCAGACAGCCCTGACATTTGACTTGCTGATGCTTCATTGCAATGCAATAGTTCCTAAAATGCATTTTCCTGATCAGGTTGTGTTTTTGTTTATTTGGCTGTTACTAAACACAAGGTTCCAAGGTGCTGATTATGGGCCACAAAGATTTTGTCATTCATTTTCCCCTCCCCCTGCAAAGGTCTTTTTAAAAAACCTGGGGAATATTTTGATTCACATGACTGATACTTGCTAGATTCCACCTAAGAGCTGCAGCTGGCAAATGGGAGTACTCACTTAACATGGCAAGAACACAAGCAGTGAAATGCTGGACAGTATCTTAGCACCTTTCAGGGGAACAATTTTATTATGGCATAAGCTGAGAATCTACTTCATCAAGTGTCCAATTGTATGTCTCCATGTCAATACCAGGCTATGATGACCTTACCACAGGGTTTTCTTAGCAAGGTTTATTCAAAGGAGGTTTGTGATTGGTTTGCTCTTAGGATGACTGAGTGTGACAGGGTAAATTGGGATGTTTCCTTGGGTAATTAGACCCTGGTCACCCAGTCTCAGTCCAAAGCTCAATGCAATGTGCCACAGTGGGTCATTCACTTCATTAGATCACCTTCTGGAAGACAGAACTGGATTTTGTGAGTAGTAAGGGAGTAATAAAACTGGACAGCACTTTGAGTGCTGGATTACTGGGAAACCAGCGATCGAATCTCCACTAAGCCCCAGAGGAAGGGAATGGCAAACCCTTTCTGTATAAATCTTGTCAAGACAACTCTGTGATAGGGTCACCTTAGGGGCAGCATAAGTCAAAAACTACTTGAAGCCACACAACAATAACAACAAGCTAAAGCTGATGCTAGTTTTTGACTTATGGTGCCTCTACATCCTCCAATGCTATTTATGGTATAATGGGACTATAAGTTGGGCAATTGAATGGCATTTTGTCATCCCAGACTAGCTGGGAATCCTCCTCCTGCGGATATGTGTGTCTTACTGTATTTTTAAATCACTATATTTTGTAATATTTGAAATCATATATTTAAATTTTAGTTAAGGTGTTATTTCCCTTTTCTTCAGCAGATGTACAGGAAAAATGTACAGCAAATTATCCAGAGCCTCATTCGTAAGCTGGCTTCTCTCAGCCAGTATGAGGAGGTACTTGCAAAAATCAATGCATCGTCAACTGACAGGCTGACAGTCCTGAAAACCAAACCTCAAGCCATTCAGCGGGATATCATCACCATCTGCAGTGACCCCTACATGTTAGCCCAACAGCTAACTCACATAGAGCTAGTGAGTTGACTCTTCCTTATGCTTCATTTTCCCTGTTTGATTCATTCATTTGTTGCTGTTCGTTAGTTTCATTATGTTTGTGGAACATGCAATATTCAGTTGAATTCTTCTTTCTTTTCCCTCAGGAGAGACTTAATTACATTGGACCACAGGAATTTGTCCAAGCATTTGTACAAAAGGATCCACTGGATAATGACAAGGTAAATTGTTAGGTATTGTGTGGTGGGAATTTATGCAATACAGTGCCAGTTGAATGCAACTCTTGGGATTTATGAGTCCATTCTTCGAGGAAGCAGACCCTAGAAATGTTAGTTTTTTGAACTACATCTGCCATTTTACAGTAAAATCAAGTATTTCATAGTCAGCCGTTCACCTTATGTCTTTTGGCATTGGTTTCCAACTAGAGCATTCAATTGAAACCCATTTAAGCACAGCCTAAGCCCCTAAGCATCTTACTAAGCCAGTGGTGCCACTACAGGATTAGAATACCTACCACCCACCCAGAAACATGATCCAGGTAATTAAGGCACAATATTGTCTTTTTAGAGCTGCTATGGTGATCGGAAGAAGACACGTAACCTGGAAGCATATGTGGAATGGTTCAACAGGCTCAGCTACTTGGTTGCCACAGAAATATGCATGGTAGGTGAATCTGTTTTGGCTGTCCTCTGTCAGGTTCCTTGTGCGTTTGTGAGTTCTCAGAATGATGACAACTTCTAAACATAACACACAGGACAGATGTGAGACACAAAGGGAAAAGGGTATGGAAGGAGGAAAAATCAATCAAATTTAGGAGGTAATACTTCTTATAATACTCTGTTGGGGTGGATAGATTTTGGTAGCCTGGTGGAATGGCTACCACTAAGTGACATTTGGGGACAGCAAATTTAATCACTGGTAGCTGAATCAGCCAAGTGACCCTGTGTCCGTGGTTCTTATGTATGCCATGGCACATTCAGACATGCAGATAATCACTTGAAGTTGAGATCAAGTGGTGTACGTGCAGGCTTAGTTCACAACTGGAACTGTCTGAATTGATGCCACATCCTATCCTCCCAGTTGCTCAGCTCCTGAACCTTTACCAGGTACCCATTATCAGCTGAGCTGACAAGTGTGCAACTTCATGTTGTTTGCTTATGGACAGGACTGGTGTAACACATTGGGAATTCAGCCTCAGATGGCTTCTGGGCCATTACAAAGCCAGGTGGCCGCACTTGGAATGAGGTAGTGATTGCTGACATCAACTGAGCTGCCCCACTGAGCATGGAGAGGAGTGTTGGGGCATATAGCCATTAATACATTCCTAGATATCCAGATGCTGCTGATGCCAGGCCTCCAGATGCATACTTGTGAATCACCCTACCATTTCCAGCACTCTGGAGAACACTGTTTTTTAAGGATGGCAGGAGGTTAAGCTTGCTTAGAAAACAATATATATTTGAGTTTGAAGCAGTCGAATTGTGTGTGTATGCACCTTCACTGAAATATCGTTCTTCAGTGAGCAATTTTTTTATTAAAGGTGTGGCTTTGCTAGTATGTAATAGTAGAAACAATAAATACCCTTTGTGGCACCTTAAAGTCTAATAAATCTATTATATAATAGGCTTTTCTGGACTGTAGCCTACTCCCTGCCAGTCAGCTGTGTGGCAGGCTGAAACAACATTCTGTGACTCAAATGAGTGAAGGCTGGAGCCACCCTAACTTGTCCTCTCTTTGTCTGGCAAAGTCTTGTCTGTCACGATGTATTTCTCTCGCTTAGATTTACTGTATCTTTAAAACAACATGAAACTTAGAGTACTGCTTACAAAAAGCGGGTTGGTGTGCATATCTATGTCTGGTTCTTTCCCAAGCTAATGTTTCCTAGCCTTAATTTTGGAGCAAGAAGCTGAGTAAGCAATACTCCATTCCCCCTTGTTGATTTTTTGTCTTCTGCAGCCTGTGAAGAAAAAACACAGAGCAAGAATGATAGAGTACTTCATTGATGTGGCCCGGGAATGCTTTAACATTGGCAACTTCAACTCTTTAATGGCCATCATTTGTGAGTATAAACAAATATTCTCTATAGATACACACTTTAGAAAATTGTTTACAAAGCAGAGCTGGGGAGCTTTAGGCCCTTCTGACCTTTACAGTTTCAACCTTTTGATGGTGGCTGTGTCCATTGGGACTGATGGAAATCCAAAGCATCTGGAAGCCCCAAGCTTCTCTATCCATTTCATAAAAGAAACTTGGAAAGAAAATGGATCCCTTGGATCTGATTCAGACAGGGATCAGATGGATTCTGGATGTGGCTTCCAATAGTTGTTGCCTGTGACTTTTTCTCCATCTGATGCTGTGCCATGTCACAACACTAACGTGTTTTCCACACTACAAAAACATAGCAAATAGCTATTTCTTTCACTCCTTTGGCTGCATCACATGGAATTGTGAGATTTGTAGTTTGGTGAGGCACTAGAACACTCTGGCAGATCATTCTAAATGGTCTACAAGACTACAGATCATAGGATACAGCCATGGTAATTAAAATAGAATTATAACTGTGAAGTGTGAAAGAGATCAAAGATTATAGTGCTAGAACTTTCTGTGTTTCCTTAGTTTCTCCATCTCGTTAGCTCTTACTTGCATTTGCAACACAATGATGTTGCATATTATTTACTACTACTACTAGAAAAGTAAATAGAGGCCCAGAGGCCACCTGAGACTAGAACGGATCTAGGAGCATACTCCAATTGCAACCTGTTGTTTCAAGGTCTGTTCTCAATAGCACAATGAAGTCTTCATAGGCATTGTTTACTTTTCCTATATTTGCTCTTGAATGCTTATATATTCTTTCACTCTTATCTCCTTGTCAACTACCATCCTTTTGGACTAAAAGCTGGAATGAATATGAGTCCCGTCTCCAGACTAAAGAAAACCTGGTCAAAAGTCAAGACAGCCAAGTTTGACATTCTTGAGGTAAATCTGGTTAGATAATCTCAACTGCATGGAGAGGGGGAGTACAGGATCCATTACTTGTGCAAACATACTTATTATTCTGTATTTTTTTTAATGTACTGATGCTAGTTCTGGTAAAAACAGGAGATATTCTAACTGTTCTGCCTACAATTGGATATAGTGGGATAAAAGATATGAGCCTAATCTTCTTACTAGTTACGAGGAAGAATAATTTAGCCCGGTGATCCATGGTCAGGCCCACAGTAAGGGAAAGAAGAAATAGTTGTACCCAATGAGCAAAAATACAGTGAAACTTATGGATATATGGTGACGAAAAACACCTACCGGCACCATATAGCTTAGGAAAAATTGTATTAGTCTTCACTCATTGTTGAAGAAAATATTGAGCGTGGCACACTCTGTTGATCAATTTATTATGTACTATTATGTCCAAATAATTCAGGCAAACAAAAGTTTGATTTGGATAAAAGTTAAGCTTGTGTTGTCTTTCTTGTATTTATCTTTGTCCCTATTGCAATTTGGTTAAATGATACTGAAACAGTGGGTTGTTGTAGGTTTTTTTTGAGCTGTATGGCCATGTTCTAGAGGCATTCTCTCCTGACGTTTTGCCTGCATCTATGGCAAGCATAGAGAAACAGTTCAGTTTCTGCTTTGTGATAGGTGTTCTCCTCCCCAAAATAAATCCTGGACTTCCACAAAATCTGAAGTACTTTAGCATCTGCTATATAAAGCATGAAACATGTGAATTTTATTCTATCGTTCTTTCTCTAGCATCAAATGGACCCTTCCAGTAACTTCTACAATTACCGCACAGCTCTACGTGGAGCGGCTCAGAGGTCTTTAACTGCTCACAGCAACAGAGAGAAGGTACGCTTTTAAATTTCCCCTTGCTTATGTTCATATTTGAATGAAATGCTAAATATCAGTTGGAAGGTTAGTGAAAATAATCCAATTTATGGGCCCCCTGAAATAGATCTACAGATCCATTGGGAGGTCCAGGGACCCCAAGTTAAGAACTCCCAAGCTGGACCTCATTCAGTTGTTGTAGGTTTTTTCGTGCTATACGGCCATGTTCTAGAGGCATTCTCTCCTGACGTTTCGCCTGCATCTATGGCAAGCATCCTCAGAGGTAGTGAGGTCTGTTGGAACTAGGAAAATGGATTTATATATCTCTGGAAAGACCAGGGTGGGACAAAGGACTCTTGTCTGCTGGAGCTAGGTGTCAATGTTTCAACTGACCACCTTGATTAGCATTTGATAGCCTGGAAGTGCCTGGAGCAATCTTTTGTTGAGAGGTGATTAGATGTCCTGATTATTTTCCCTCTGCTGTTTTGCTGTTTTAATTTTATAGTTTTTTAATTTGCTTGCCATAGATGCAGGCGAAACATCAAGAGAGAATGCCTCTGGAACATGGCCATATAGCCCGAAAAAACCTACAACAACTGAGTGATTCCGGCCATGAAAGCCTTCGACAATACATTGAACCTCATTAGCTCTGTTCTATAGCAATCCATCAGCTCAATGCACAGCTTCTTGTTCTTGAACCATTATAATCCTTAGCTTTTCTTTGATGAGTCTTCCATTTTCATCCTGATGGAAATGTTTTATTAATTTATGTCTGATTCTGTTATTTGTTCTTGTTGCCATTCCATGAAAAGCAATTTTTCAAGTGGTTTTCTGTTGCCCAGCCAGCAGCCAGTTCTGTCCCAATAGGGTAGCTTGTAAAAGAAGTGGAACAAAGGTGTAAGAACTGAAAAAAGAAAAGAAAAGAGAAATGTTATTCTGCAGTGAAAGGCACAAGGATGAAATGCATGCAGCAAGGCTCCAGAAGACTGCCTCTTGGCCCCAGCTATTATTGGAAATCTCTTTATTGTTCGCAATCTCTTATAGAAGAGCAGGATATCCCAGAGTTCACTGAAATCTTTAAAAATTCTTTTAAGATCTGTTCTCACATATGTGGCCAAATAGTTTGATAAACAATTTAGGAAAAGACACAAGAGAAGATAATTCTTTTCTTAGCCATTAGGATGTTTGGCATATATTGATATCGTTTCCCATAAAATACCAGACAGAAAGAATCATAGAATCATAGTTGGAAGAGACCTCATGGGCCATCCAGTCCAACCCCCTGCCAAGAAGCAGGAATATTGCATTCAAATCACCCCTGACAGATGGCCATCTAGCCTCTGTTTAAAAACCTCCAAAGAAGGAGCCTCTACCACACTTCTGGGGGCAGAGAGTTCCACTGCTGAATGGCTCTCACAGGCAGGAAGTTCTTCCTCATGTTCAGGTGGAAGTTAGTCTTTGTTTAAGGGAGTGACTAAGAGGAAATCATGCATCAATACTGGGCAGCTGTATGTTTGGGGATTAATGTATTGTCGAAGGCTTTCATGGCCAGAATCACTGGGTTGTTGTAGATTTTTCGGGCTGTATGTCCATGTTCTAGTATTCTCTCCTGACATTTTGCCTGCATCTATGGCAGGCATCCTCAGAGGTTGTGATGTCTGACCTCACAACCTCTGAAGATGCCTGCCATAGATGCAGGAGGAACATCAGGAGAGAATGCTTCTAGAACATGGTCATACAGCCCAAAAAACTACAACAACCCAGTGTTTGGGGATTGTTTTTGATTAGGTATTATGAAAAATGTGAAATACAGGTTAACTTCTAAAAAGGATCCTATTAATGAGGAAACTGGAAAGCTTATGTAAGAAATTAGTCCATAATTGTATTAAATAGTCGGTAGCACAAATATAGAAATCTACTGATAGTGTTAAGCAATCTTTGACCTGCTCTTTGCCAGAAGAGTTGGAGTATAATTGTTCTTCATGGGGAGAGCAGGAGGCAATATTTCTCATTTTCTATAGTTCTGGTTTTGAAAACTTCACCAGGCAATACAGAATTGTTCTCAACTAGTGCCTGCTATGTAGACTATTCAGTGATTAAGAATTAGGATTGCTGACCAAGAAGACCTAGAAGTTGACCATCCCTTGCACTGAGTTAACTTACAGTTCAATTAGGTCAATCAGGATTCATGTTAGGATCTTTGGTATAGGTAGAAATAGAAGAATAGGCACCAAGATTAACTTCTTGAGATCTCCCAGTAGGTCAAGTTTGGTGGTGCTTTTGTCCCTTTTTCCTCCCCAAAGATGATGATGATGATGATGATGATGATGATGTATTGTCGAAGGCTTTCATGGCCGGAATCACTGGGTTATTGTAGGTTTTTTCAGGCTATATGGCCATGGTCTAGAGGCATTCTCTCCTGACAATTTCAACAAAAAGGAGGAAACTATGAAAATGAACAAAATCTGGCTACCAGTATTAAAAAAACTCTAAAATTACAACAGCACAACAACAGAGAGGAAACAAACAAGGACATCTAATCACCTCTCAACAAAAGTTTGTTCTAGGCACTGTCAGGCCATTATATGCTAATCAAGGTGGTCAGTTGAAACATTCACACCTAGCTCCAGCAGACAAGAGTCCTTTGTCTCACCCTGGTCATTCCACAGATATGTAAACCCTTTTTCCTAGTTCCAACTGACCTCACTATCTCTGAGGATGCTTGCCATAGATGCAGGCGAAACGTCAGGAGAGAATGCCTCTAGACCATGGCCATATAGCCCGAAAAAACCTACAACAACCCAATAATAATAATAATAATAATAATAATAATAATAATAATAATAATAATAATATAATCACCATCTCTCCAAAGGGGACTCGGGGTGGCTAACATGAGGCCAAGCCCAGAATTACTGTACAACAAAATAAAATAGAAACAGCAAATAATAGCATCAAAAATACATAAAATAACAGAAAATGAAATAAACAGATGCAAAATAATGCAATGAAGAAATAAAATAAAAGCATGGTGGGCGGGCCAAAGATAACTGAATGTGGCATACAAGAGATATGGTTGTTGATAATATCCTACTTAAATAGGGTTTGCACATTTTGAATTCGTTTTCTATTCTTCTACAAAATTGGTTTCTACCAGAAACAGTAGTGAAAGTAATGAGTTTGCTCAACTTTCCTCAAGCTTATGACCTCTAGATACCTTGTATTCATCACCTCCCATCAGCATAACCATGCATCTTCTGGTAGTAACTGATGGGAGACGTAGTCCAGCCCATCCAGAACTCCTGCCTTGCCTGCAGCTGAGTCTAAGGAAAACCTGTTTTGTCCTCTACAATGTCTGGATATAGGCAACAAATTCGTTTTCTATTCTTCCTTAAAACCTCAGTTGACTGCAATTTTCTCCAGATCTGATGTTGAATCTTGTTTGTCTGTCTTTCCTTTAGATTGTGATCCCCTTCTTCAGCCTGCTCATCAAGGACATCTACTTCCTCAACGAAGGCTGTGCCAACCGACTGCCCAATGGGCATGTCAATTTTGAAGTAAGTAGAGCATATTCAGAATGTCCTGCTCACTTTAACTGTGCCATGATTTGATAATTAAAATGTGAGCAGGAAGCCTGGCCTAAGGGTTGCTGCTTATTCTCTGGAAGCTAATTGTGAGCAACAGTGCGCCTGGGAGTACAGACCTAATCACTTACTGTCTGCTGCATTGTGCCTGTTGGCAAGGAGGCCTGTGAGTGTAGAGATCTTCCAGGGAGAACTGTTGCTCTCGTTTGTTTCCATCTCCTCTCATCATTGACTATAGCACCATACAACACCCTTTCTCATTTAGCTCGAATGGCTACTCATTTGTTTCTGGGCACAATTCATGATGCTGCTTATATGTAAAGACCTATATGTACATTAGGTCCAGGATATCTGGAAGGCCATAGCTATGTGAGCCTGCTTCTTCTGGAGCGGCTCTTATCTCTATTCTACCACCTTCACTAGTGTGGCTGGTAGAAAATGGTAATAGTGACTTCTCATTGGCTGCCTAAGGGTCTGGACGTTTCTTAGGGAGGTTAGAATAGGTCCTCTCCTTAGATGGCAAACCTGTGTGTGTGTGTGTGTGTACACACACACACACACACACACACACACACAGAGATACATATATACATATACACACATACCTCTCTCCATATATGTGTGTGTATTAAGCTAATATATATAGGTGTGTGTATATGTATATACACACATACACACAGGCATCTATATATAGGCATGCATATATATATATATATATATATATATATATATAGAGAGAGAGAGAGAGAGAGAGAGAGAGAGAGAACGAACTCCAATGAGGAATACTCTTAACAGCTGATAGTGGCGATGGTGAATGTATTGTCGAAGGCTTTCATGGTCGGAATCACTAGGCTGTTGTAGGTTTTTTCGGGCTATATGGCCATGTTCTAGAGGCATTCTCTCCTGACGTTTCGCCTGCATCTATGGCAAGCATCCTCAGAGGTAGTGAGGTCTGTTGGAACTAGAAAATGGGTTTATATATCTGTGGAAAGAACAGGGTGGGACAAAGAACATGAAAATGAACAAAATCTGGCTACCAGTATTAAAAAACTCTAAAATTAAAACAGCAAAACAGCAGAAGGAAAACAATCAGGGACATCTAATCACTTCTCAACAAAAGATTGCTCCAGGCACTGCCAGGCCATCAAATGCTAATCAAGGTGGTCAGTTGAAACATTCACACCTAGCTCCAGCAGACAAGAGTTCTTTGTCCCACCCTGGTCATTCCACAGATATATAAACCCATTTTCCTAGTTCCAACAGACCCCACTACCTCTGAGGATGCTTGCCATAGATGCAGGTGAAACGTCAGGAGAGAATGCCTCTAGAACATGGCCATATAGCCCGAAAAAACCTACAACAACCCAGCTATGGTGAATATTTGAAGGCTACATAAAGACATTTACATTGAATGCTGAATGTTATAATGATTTAGTCAGAGTTACAAATTCCATCTTCAATTACAGTTTTCAAACTATCATCCCTGTAGAATAATGCACTGATTGCATTCTCAAAGCACACATTTCTCTTATAATTTTACACTTCTCTGGTATTGGATCTTTAAGCCTCTTAAGGATGTATGCAAAATTAGAAGCTGTTAAAGGTGTATACATTATGTCTGCCTGACTGTCTATCTATCACCAACAGACTTTAAAGGAAAAGGATTTAAAAGGATTAGTAATCCTGTTTTTTTCTTTTGTTTCTGAATTGTTTTTAAAGGGTAGCACCCCTTTTTCATAACCGTTGCTTCAAAAATGTATATCCTGGAACTTTCATTTGTCCTCTGATATATGATTTACTTGCTTTCTGTCTTGTTTTGCTTTCTTTTGGTCTTTGCTAACCTGGTCCTTTTTCCTTTCCCAATTCTCTCTTCCCTCACCATTTTTAATTACAGAAATTTTGGGAACTGGCTAAACAAGTGAGTGAGTTTATGACATGGAAACAAGTAGAGTGCCCTTTTGAAAGAGACCGGAAAATACTTCAATATCTGCTCACCGTCCCAATCTTCAGTGAGGATGGTAAGAAACAGGCCACATTTTGTAAACAACTTGCTTAGTGTTGTTGCTTATATTGTTCTCTTGGGGCACATAAAATTTGCCTACTTTTATTAATGGCACTCCATGCAGTCATGCTGGCTACATGACCTTGGAGGTGTCTACGGACAATGGTGGCTCTTCGGCTTAGAAATGGAGATGAGCACCACACCCCAGAGTCGGACACTACTGGACTTCATGTCAGGGGAAAACCTTTACCTTTACCTTATTGGGTTTATTGGGAAAGAAAAGAGTTAATATACTACCAACAAATACCCCTGTGAAACATTATCTTATTCATGTTCAAAAAGCCACATCTTTTTGTCTCCAGCATTCCTTTTCAGAAAGTGGTAGGAAGACATCCCTTTGCTAGTTGGCTGCAAAAGTCATCTTTTGGAGAATGTCAATTGGCTAGTGCCCATGTCACCCGCATTTATAATGTTTACCAATACTAATATGGGAATGTTTACAGTTTTTAAGTCATAGAACTAGCAATTAGGGGAGTGTTAATATTGCACATGCATATTAACAGAATGAGCCACCTTGCAAACAGGCATGTGCAATATAAAAACAAAGTACAGGAGTACAAAAAACCGGATTGTCCCAGTGTCAAAATAAGTGGCCAGGACAGATGAGAGAACCCTTTTAGTACTTGCATGCAAATTGTGGAAATGCCAAGTTTGGCCTCATTTCTTTACTACCTTGTGAAGATGTTTTAATGCAATTAAGCATGAAATCTTTTTAACACTAGTGTGTGATTTTTTTGTTGTTGTAAAAATGCATAGCCTTGTGTTTGATCAGCTGAGTCGTCTTTCTGTGTTTAATTCTGGTTTTTACAAATTTATGGTTTCATATTGTTATTTTATGTGGGCTTAACTCATTTTCCACAATTTTTTGAAATGGAAGGATTTAATGGCCAGAATCTGTGGATATATTAGGAGTTGTACCTTTTTTAAGGGTTGCAAGTGGTAGCAAGGAAAGGCAGACAAAATCTGCTGGCTCCAACCAGTATATTCTTTCAATGCTTTCTGGCTGCTGAACCTGCATCCATTTATGTCCACCAGTGACACTGGAAAAATGCAAAACCACGATTCCAGCGAATAAAAATAAACTGTTTCCTCCCTGCTGCAGTTGAAATATCTTGTAAAACAAGTCCTCCTCTTGGGAACCCTAAATCCATGTTAGCCTTGCCTTTCTTCTTTGAATATTCTGCAGGCATTTAAGCCACACAAGGAGATTATTTGCCATCCAGAACTGTTTCTTTTACACTGGGCAGTTTTATGACAGATGTCCATTACTATCCCAAGAGAGACGAGGCTGTTGATCTTTCTAGAATGAAGTCTGGGAGGTGCAGGGCCATGTTGACACACCCTCTTTGTTTTCCTCCACTTGCAGCACTTTATTTGGCTTCCTATGAGAGCGAAGGGCCTGAGAACCACATTGAAAAGGACAGATGGAAGACTCTCAGGTCAGTGTCCGAGGGCGCTGCCATCCATAAATCAACAGACTGCAAACTTGCTCTGCCATTAGACACCTTCAAAGCCAAGTGTCTTGCTGCATGCCTCAACAGATGAACACAGTGTGAGCATGAAAATAAACTATCATTTTAATGTCTGGACTTTCCCAACTAAACACTTCAAGCTGCTGCTGCTCTTTCTGTTTTTTCCCCCTTCTCCTCTCATCTTCAATACTTAAACCTTCAGTACTTAAAGTGCAATTCCCTTTGCTCTTTTGATTTTTCCTTCTTTCTTTCTCTTTTGGGACTGTTGTCTAATCCATCACATATTATGTTAAGTTCTACTACTAAATAATTCCACAGTTGATATATTTCCTTGACACCTTGATGAACAGTTGGTTAGTTAGGATACAGTGAGCAGAAAGAATCTTTTTCCCAGTCCTTTAAAATATTACTAAATGTATGCAGTTAAAAAAAGTGCATATAAACCGTATTGACCACGATGGTTTGCAGCCATATCTGGTCTTTGCTTAGAGTTTTGTAAGAGCAATGGATATAGATATAAGGCCTACAGCAGGTCCATGGGCAATTTCATTTCCCCAGATCCTGCCATTGGATCACATCCCACTGCAAAATTAAACTTGTGTATGGTTTTTTAAAAACTCATGTATAACTGCTTAACTTTTCAGTTAGCATTTCCAAATGATATCTTGGTAGGTATTCCCACAATATATGGCAGGAAATATCCTTTTTTGAATTGCCTTTATACACATGTGCCTTGTCTTAGAAGGAGGTTCATGTACCTTGGAGGTTTCCAGGTACACAATTATTCTTTAAAATAAGGTGCATACTTTAAACCCCTGGCAGAGCCTCTTCCTGAATGAGCAGCCAGAGATGACTAATTCTTCATGACACTACAAATCCCAGGTCTCCATGGGTTATAACCAGGACAATTAAAGTGGAATCATAGTGTACTGCCATGGTTTTCAACCTTCCTAATGCTGCAACCCTTTAATACAGTTCCTCATGTTGCGGCGACCCTCAACTGTAACATTATTTTTGTTGCTACTTCATAACTGTAATTTTGCTACTGTTATGAATCGTAATGTAAACATCGGATATGCAGGATGCATTTTTATTCACTCCAAGGTACATGAAATTTGGCACAAATACCCAATATGCCCAAATTTGAATATTGGTGGGGTTGGGAAGGGGTTGATTATGTCATTTGAGAGTTGTAGTTGTGGGGATTTATAAACCTACAATCAAAGAACTCCACCAACAATGGAATTGAACCAATCTTGTCACACAGAACTCCCATGAACAACAGAAAATACTGGAAGTGTTTGGTGGGCATTGACCTTGAGTTTTGGAGTTGAAGTTCACCTACATCCATGGAGCACTGTGGACTCAAACAATGATGGATCTGGACCAAACTTGGCACCAGTGCGCAATATGCCCAAATGTGAATACTGCTGGGAAAAAATAGACATTGACATTTGGGAGTTGTAGTTGCTGGGATTTATAGTTCACCTAAAATCAATGAGCCTACTGGACCCCACCAACGATAAAATTGGGCCAAACTTTCCACATGGAAACCCCGTGGCCAACAGAAAATACTGTGTTTTCTGATGGTCTTTGGTGACCCCTCTGACACCTCCTTGCGACCACCCCCCCAGGAGTCCTGACCCCCAGATTGAGAACTGGTGTAGTGTAAAAGAGCCTCTCTTGTATGTATTGCCAAGATCCAGAGACTTTCTAATGACATTTCAGAGGGACCCAAAATGTAACATCAGAAAGTGTTGCAAACTACCATTTCTCAGTACCCTAATGGATGTTTCTTCTTCTTCCTGTCTTTAGGTCAACACTTTTGGGAAGAGTGTAACATGATTGGGTTCCTCCTCCTGTAGCCGCTGAGTTGGCACCAGATCTTATTATTTGATGGACTTTTATCAAGGTCATCTATTTATTTTCCCCTCCCTGCTTTTTGTGTAACCCTTCCCTTTTTGCACCAAGTGACGCTTTCAAGTATTAGGACTCTGCAGCTGATTTGGACATGTCAGAACTTTGTACGAAGGCACAACTGCAAGCTAATTCGAGAGTAAACAGGCCAGCCTCTCAAACTGGATGATCAGATTAGATCACAAGTTTGTGATGTGTCATTGATGAAAGGCAGTAATGAGGAAACTTCTTTGAAGCTCAAACTCCTCTTTGCATCATTTCCAAACACCTGGATGGATGGGGATTCTGTGCCGCCACCGCCTTCTAGTTTTGCCCTGCTGCTCCTTTGATGTGTTCCAACTTGCTGCTACTTGTGTACTGGATTCTAGAGCAAACTTCCCCTTCTGAGGCTGGATTTCCCACTTTGACTCTTTCATACATTGGGCCAGGAGAAGAAAACATACCCTGTGCTCACATTTCTAGGATTTTTGGCTTTCTTCTTGAAAGGAAAAAAAGAGTTCACTATGGAGTGAAATGGGCTGCTATGATTTTTGTCTATTTATTGTGGGAAGGGGGTTAATTATTTTTTCCTTCAGTTTATATTTTGGTTGAGTTGGTTGCTGGTCAGCAAACTCGTATGGTGTATTATTTGAAAAAAAAAAGCAATTGAAACCAGTGCTGTGATAGGAAAAGCAGACACTAGAAGGATATGTAGCAAATGTAGCTAGGCTATAGAAATGTCTCTGCCCCCGTTTACTATTATGCTATCTTTGTTTTGCTTTGGTTTGTTTAAAAGCCACATCTATATTAAAAACTTAAATCCAGTGTGGAATTGGTTTAACTTCCTGGCTTTCTCTAAATCAGCTTGGGACCCCTTTTTATGGTATTAATAAAAGAGGTTCACAATTTTGGTTTATTCCAGTGGGCAACTATAACCTGATTTCTGTAGGTTTCTCCTGACTTGAGGAGACCCATTGAATCAGTTGCTGAATTAATGGTCAAGACTTATATAAAGTCCATTGATTCAATAGTCTAACTCAGGCAAGAGCAAACTTTGGTTCCTCAAGTGTTCCTCAAGAGCAAACTTTGGTTCCTTCAAAACACTTGAAGAACTGAAGTTGGCCCATACCTGGTGTAACAATAGTTAGCACTATGAATATAATATATGCCCACAATAGGTTTGAAGCCGGATTAAAATTGTAGTATAGATATTGCAAAAATGTTCTTTTGGTGTTTCACCAATACTTCAGTATTGGTTGAACACTTGGGTTTTTTCCCCTACTTTAGACACCACAGCTTGGATTGTGGTAGATATGAATATAAATTTTGCTTTCATTGAGTTTTTAAAAAGCTCTCTGAAAAGAATGGCTGTTGTAACATATGTGATCCAGTAAAAACCTACAGGAAATAGTAACATCCTATGGACAAAAAGAAGTTTTATTCTTCAGCTAAACCAGTGCTGTGAAATGGAAACAGCGATTGCTTCCTTTTTTGTTGTTGTTTCAGGAGTCTTTTAAAAATATATATACTATGAAACAGGTCACATTGTTAGACATCCTGTGAAATCTTTGATAGCTCTGAATGCGTAGATACTATAATTTCTCCCCCTAGGAAAGTCTAGAAAATGAAACAGGCCCTTGAGCATTAGGCAGCCAGTGAAAATCATATTCTAAACAAAGGGACTTGTATGTAACCAGTGCCAATGTTCAAAAATGAAAATAAAATTCAAACATGTAACTGTGTGGTCTCTGGAAATTGGAAAAGAAGATTGTGTGTGGTCTATGAAACTACTTTTTTTTCTAATGCAGTGGTTCTCAACCTTCCTAATGCTACAACCCCTTAATACAGGTCCTTATATTTTGGTCACCTCCAACCATAAAATAATTTTCATTGCGACTTCATAATTGTAATTTTGCTACTCTTATTAATTGTAATGTAAATATCCGATATGCAGGATATATTTTTGTTCACTGGATCAAATTTGGCACAAATACCCAATAACACCCAAATTTGAATACTGGTTGGGAGGGGGTTTGATTTTGTCATTCGGGAGTTGTAGTTGTTGGGATTTATAGTTCACCTATAATCAATATCTGATATGCGTATTGTATGTTCATTCACTGGACCAAATTTGGCACAAATACCTGATATGCCCAAATTTGAATACTGGTGGGGTTGGGCGGGGGGTTGAATTTTATTTATTTATTTATTTAGAACTTTTATATACCGGCCTTCTCACCTCCGATGAGGGACTCAGGCTGGTTTACAACAGAGGAGTTCATACACAATAGTTAAAACATCACATCCAATAAAACTCTAATATAAAACACATTAAAATACAATCATATAATTACATAAGGCCAAGTCGTCAGAATAAAATCACCATTCATCACCATCCGTCCGTGTGGTCAAGGGTTATTGACTCACTCATCAAATGCCAAGTTCCAGAGCCAGGTTTTCACCAACTTTCTAAAGGTCAGGAGGGAAAGGGCAGTTCTAATCTCCAATGGGAGAGAGTTCCAGAGTTCCAATATTTCTCATTCAGGAGTTGTAGTTGCTAGGATTTATAGTTCACCTATAATCAAAGAGGATTCCGAACTCCACCAACGATGGAATTGAACCAAACTTGGCACACCGAACTCCCATGACCGACAGAAAATATTGGAAGTTTTTGGTGGGCACTGGCCTTGAGTTTTGGAGTTGTAGTTCACCTACACCCAGAGAGCACTGTGGGCTCAAACAATAATGGATCTGGACCACCTTGGTATGAATATTCAATATGCCCAAATGTAAACACTGGTAGAGTTTGGGAAAAATAGACCTTGACAGTTGGGAGTTGTAGTTGCTGGCATGTATAGTTCACCTTCAATCAAACAGCATTTCAAACCCCAATGATAGTTTTGAGCTACACCTCCCCCACAGATCCCCATGACCAACAGACAGTACTGTGTTTTCTGATGGTCTTTGGCAACCCCACTGACACCCCCCCCCCTACGATCTCCCAGGGGTCCTGACCCCCAGATTGAGAAACACTGTTTTCATGTGAATTGTGCAAGAATGCAATCTCTTATACATGCTTCCTACCTTTCGTCCACTGAGTTTAACATTGCATAGGTGGCTCTCAGTTTATCCTCCCAACAATCTTATCTTACAAGGTAAGTCAATCTATGTGAGAAAGGTTAATAGCTGGGGTCAGGGGATTGAATCAGGATAAGGGCTCCACACAAATGATCCTAAAGGATGTGTTGGCGAAGGCTTTCATGGAGGGAATCACTGGGTTGTGAGTTTTCTGGGCTGTATGGTCATGTTTCAGAAGCATTCTCTCCTGACATTTCACCCACACCTATAGTAGGCAGAGGTTGTCTGTTGGAAACTAGGCAGGTGGGGTTTATATATCTGTGGATGTCCAAGGGTGGGAGAAAGAACTCTTGTCTGTTTGAATGTTGCAACTGGCCAGTTTGATTAGCATTGAATGGCTTTGCAGTTTCAAAGCCCGGATGCTTCCTGCCTGGGGGAATCTTTTGTTGGGAGGTGTTAGTTGGCCCTGATTGATTCCTGTCTGGACTTTCCCTGGGTTTTGAGAGTTGCTCTTTATTTATCAAAATCTACAAGCATTTGTATAATTTCAACAGAAAGGAGGAAACCATGAAAACGAACAAAATCTGGCCACCAGTATTAATAAACTAAAATCAGGACAGTAAATAGAGAGCAACACTCAAAAATCATGGAAATTCCAGCCCCCGGTGGCGCAGTGGGTTAAACCCCTGTGCTGGCAGGACTGAAGACTGACAGGTCGCAGGTTCAAATCGGGGGAGAGCACAGATGAGCTTCCTCTATCGGCTCCAGCTCCTTATGCAGGGACATGAGAGAAGCCTCCCACAAGGATGACAAAACATCAAAACTGTCAGGATTATCCGAGTGTCCCCTGGGCAACGTCCTTGTAGACGGCCAATTCTCTCACACCAGACTTGCAATTTATCAAGTTGCTCCTGACACGACAAAAAAAAAGTACTGCAATATTTTAATGGACAATATTTTAATGCATTTTAAATTTTGTTGTTTTATTTAATGTCAACTGTTCTTTCTGTTTTTTTTGTATTTTCTTGCCACGGTTGTATCTTTAGCTCAAGGGCTAGTTAGTTTAATTTCTGCTGGCACTTAAATGAAATCATTTTGATGGTTTGGAATGTTAAAAGAGAGAATAGCACTATGTGCTTGCAGCCAGAAAGAGCCACTGTTGGGAGCACATTGTTGGGAAGTCCAACCATAGATGGGAAGACATTGCGCATACTAAAGAAGTCAGCATCCCTGAGTGACATGAGCTTTGCCACCTTCATAACCATGGCAGCAGGTGCTAGAAAATGCACCACTGTGGGATTCTCTCTTTAGAAACAAATTATTGCTCCAGGTAAGCTGAGGCCCTTCATTTTGGATGCTAATAGGCTTGGCTTTTGATTACAACACAGCACTCTTTGTTCTCTGTCCCATCTCTCTTTTCCATTCTTCTATAAACTATTGTATTTAAAAGAAGGAAAGTAGGTTGAGAAATGAAATGATAGCCGAGAGACCAAACTGGATGGGGTGCAGTTAGGGGCTTTTCCGCTATAGTCAACCTCCATATCCACTGGGGATACGTTTCATAACTCCTCATGGATATCTGATATTGTGAATATCAGGCAGCCGGGTTTTAGCACAGCTGGTAAATCAGCAATTATAAGATCTACCAACCAAAAGTTTGCCAGTTCAAAGCTCCAGGTCAGCATGAGCTCTCAACTGTCAGCTCAGCTTACTGTTTACCTAAGCAGTTCGGAAACAGTTTGAGTTATAAGCAGAGAAATTAAGTACTGCTTAAAACAAGCGGGGGAGGTATTTTAAGACACAGTAAAGAAAAGATCAGAAAATGTCCAGTGACCAAAAGGAAGAAGGAAGTTCTGATAGCTCTTTGTCATTGAAGATGGAGCAACACCAGCCCCTGTGGCTGGATTCGAGCACAACCTCCAAGGTGCCAGAAAGCAGGATGTTGACACAACATAACTCTTTTCTGTTCTATCTGTCTTTGTCCTGTCTATCCAAAACAGCACTGAATGTTTGCTGTGTATGTGTATTGTGATCTGCCCTGAGTTTCCTTGGGGAGATAGGGTGGAATATAAATAAAGTGTTGTTGTTGTTATTGTTATTATTAACAAACCCTATATTTTGACTATACCTGGTTTGGAAACATACCATAGAAGAGCACTAGAGGACTTCCCAGTGGGGAATGTTTTTCAAGTGCATGTAAGCAAACTGGATGTTGAACGGGATCATGCTGTACTTATACTGCTGATGGTAGTATAAGCAAGAATGATTTGCCCCTTTATTGCAAATACCAATGGCTAAAGAGAATAAGCTTTGGGCAAGTCACATACTTTGTCAAACAAAGACAAACATCGGAATAAACCTTGCCGATAAAAGCCCTATGACAAGAAGTGTTGTAAGTCACATTGGCTTGAAGGCACATAATAACAGTACAGTATGGTAAGGGTAAAGGTTTCCCCTGACATTATGCCCGACTCTGGAGGGTGCACATCTCCATTTCTAAGCTGAAGAGCTGGCATTGTCTGTAGACACTTCCAAGGTCATGTGGCCAGCATGACTGCATGGAGCACCATTACCTTCCCGCAGAAGCAATACCTATTGATCTACTCACATTTGTATGGTTTTGAACTGCTAAGTTGGCAGAAACTGGGGCTAACAGCGGGATTCAAGCTACCAACCTTTTGGTCAGAGAGTTCTGCAGCTCAGTGGTTTAATCCACTGCACAACTGTATTGGGGTACAGTAAGACTGCGCTCCATGCAGTCATGCCGGCCACATTACCTTGGAGGTGTCTATGGACAACGCCGGCTCTTCGGCTTAGAAATGGAGATGAGCACTACACCCCAGAGTCGGACACGACTGGACTTAATGTCAGGGGGAAACCTTTACCCTTTACCTTTAAGACCCCAATAATCACAGCTCCTACATCCATGGTTTCGTTTACCCCTACCTGGGAGAAATGGTCTTTCTAGGAATAGGCTTGGTCCTCTGCAATTTTACGGCATGCTGGCATCAGAAGTCAGGTAATTTAATGATGTTCAGTCATATCTGTGGTTTGAAATCACTGTGGTTTGGCCAGGAATGCATCTTCCCACCGGTACAGGAATCTTACTGTATACTCTTGAACAGATTCAAGACATTACTTCTTTCCTGCTGCTGGTTACTTGGGGAATGTTTTCTTTGAGAAGCTTGAAACTTGCACATTTATGTGCAAATCCATGCATACAAAATAGCTTAGTATTTTATAAAGTGCATTGTTGAAAGCCAGTGAGGAAAAAAGATGCCCCTAACCATGGCACTTAGGGAAAGAGACGAAGGGACAATCTTTATTGCAATGCTATCAGTTGATGGACTCCTGTTTTATTGCTTAGTTTTTCTTTAGCTGAATCAGCAGATGTCACAAGAGGAGCGAAAGAATTTACGAGTTCTTGGGATCTTGCCACATGCTTGGAGTTAGGAGAGTTGGCTGGAAAATCTTAGGGGAGAAGCCAGTATATCACTTGGACAATAGCGACACCTACTGGCACTGAAGAGAAGGAGCCCGATTGCAGTACTGGAAAAGTGAATGCTTTCTCAAGGATAAAGATACAATGATAATCTATAATCATCAGTTGTTTCAGTTTAACTGACTTATTTGCAATCCAAGAACCCATAAGTATGTCA